GGTACGGTTGTCCCCGTGGAGTTACGGTACGGTTTCCCTTGCGAGGCAAGTCTCCTTAAGACCTAATGAAAGGCCGTGTCTGTTACAGTGGCACGCACTCCCGTCGTTAGGGTTTATGCATCCCCTTTCCACGGCTAATGATAGATGTGCACATGAGTGAGTTATTGTTGTGATTATTAGGAGATGAGACATGATGATAATTGATTTATATTCATGCTGCGACCATACCATCTTTACATGTCATTATGTGCATAGTAGTGAGCACTACTTTATCATTTGTGCTCACTCCCACTTGCTCTTCACGGATGCAGGTTAAGCAGGTGCCGGGTGATGGGGAAAGACGAGTGGGTGGTCCTTAGTTATTTTATTGCTTCCGTATTATCATGAACTATGTTGAGACTTGTTGAAAATCCATTTCGAACTTATGTTTTGGTTCATGTTGGATTTGAATTACTCATGATGTTTGGATTTATGAAATTCCGATTTATGCATGCTTTATGATTAAAGTTGAGTATTATGTTATGTGTTGAGAACCGGTTAATGAAAACCATTTGGGAAAAATCGGGTTCATGAATCTCCGTGGATCCAGATAAGACTTGGACTAAGTAAATTGTTGTTTAACACACATGTATTTTTGAAAATGATTTTGAAAATTGTTTACATGATTTTTTGAAAGCCCGAGATTTCATTAAAATCAAAGTGGAGTGTTACAATAATCGTACTACAATATAAAAAAAAAACCGAATCTATATATCTATATAAGGAAATAAACCTATTACCAAAAATAGTAAGAGCACCCGCAATGCTCCGTTAAAGCACCTCGTTTAAACGCCCAATTGTCGTTAACTGGAATGTGGGCGTTCATTATTTGAGTGGAGCCCATGTACCGTTCAGCCCTTTGAACGCTTGAATCCTTTATCTTTTTTTTTTTTTTGTTTTAGATGAAATTGTTTAATTATTTTATTATTCTTTTATATATTTAACTTATTTTTCATCTATATCACACTTTCAAATATTGCTAAATTCAGACTTTTTTTTTCCAACGATATAATCAATAAAACAAAATGCACAAAAGTGTGAATACACAACAACCAACGGCTGAAAACACGCAGCCAACAGCTGAAAAAAGAGAAATAAAAAGGGAGGATAAGTCAAACGACCGCCTAATATCCCGACTAGCAAAGCTAGAATAAAAACCACAACGCGACTAACTAACGAACCACAGAAAAACTAAAAACAATTACAAAACCCTAACAGGGTAATACCCGAGCATCAGACCCCAACAGGGTAATACTCGAGTGTCGGACCCCAACAGGGTAATAAGGTGACACTTGGGCACACAGAGAGACACTCGGGCGCACAGCCGAAAACACGAACAAGAAATAAAACAACACAAAACTAAACAACACACGACAAACACTCACACCACAACACAAAACAAGACAAAAAAAAAAAAAAAACGGCAACAAAATCCTTTCCCACAGCGGAAAGCCACAACGAGCTCAAACATGGCAGAATTGAACCCAAAATCCCAACCCAGAAACTACACGGGCACCTAACTGAATTGAGGATCCACGGGTCGGTCCAACCCTCGCCCAGATGAACAAACCCCACTGTCACCCGGAGAAAACAACACCCAGCCAAAACCGACAATAAGAACCCGACGAATCCGGACCTAAAACAAGCTCGACAATCACCGACAACCGCACCTCACCTACATCCCTGACCCAACAATCGCCGACAACCCCACCACCTACACTCAGCGCCCTACCTGCAACTACCGACTCCCCGCAGCTCGAGCAGGGCAGCTCAGCCCGACAAACCAACAATTGCTAACAGCCACACCTCCAAATAACTCCTACCATCGCCGGCGACCACTGAATCAAGACGGGAAAAAGCAATTTGGCCGGAGCCCTTTCTCCACCCCAAACCCTAAATCAGATTTTGGGGTCGCAACCTCTCCAAGAGAGCACCAGAGGGTCACCGAAATGGTCAATACCGGAGGAGAACCATCTACCCGTACCTCACTTCCGACACCAGAGACGGGAGCCAGAAAAGCGGGCACGACCGTCTCCCCGACGAAAAAGCTCCCCCTCCCCCGTGCGACACTGCTCTCGGAAAGGGGCTGCGAAGCTCAGGGGAGCCACCACCTTGCACTCGTCGAGCCCAACTGGGGAAGGCGATGGCTAAACGATGGACACTCCGAGAGAGATAAAATCGGGCGATGAAGTCGCAGAGATGAGATTACATACATACAGTTACTTAAATTTTTTAAAAGAGATACATATGTGACTTTTTATCTTTTGTAATTGTATTTTTTTTTCTCGTGTAATCTTAATTTGAGTTATTTTTGGTCTCTTTCATTTTCATACATTTAAAATTTATAATTATAATTTAAAAATATAAAATTTTATATTTATTGAGAATAGAATATAAAATTTATATTGAATGAATGGATAATGGGCCCCATGTATGTATTTAAATGAATGTGTAGGAATGTGAGTGTGTGTTTAAATGGAGAGAGATTTAGTGGAAAGATGATGTAGATGAAAGAGAATGTTACTTTTTGATTGAATGAATGAAATATGTGTTAAATTGGTGTGGATGCCCTAACAAAAAAGTCAACCAGCATCTATTGCATTCTATTTTTGGATGTTTTTTTTTCTTTTTAAATTGTTCCCAAAAAAATCGATTAGCTATATATGCACCCTAAATTCATGGATTTTGTGGATTTTATTTAGGTAAATTTCGATTGATGCTACAAATTTTGCAAAAGTCAAATTCTTCCTCATTTTTTATTTTAAAAAAAAAATCGATTACCATAAAATCGAGAATTTTGAATTAGACAAAATATTATCAAATATATATTTTCATCAATGCACCAAATTAATTGTTTATTAAAAAAAAAGAAATGCATAAAAAATTGTAAAAGTCAAAATTCTCTAATTTTTTTATTAAAAAAATTGATTACCATAAAATCGAGAATTTCGAATTCCGAGTTAGGCAAAATACTATAACATGTATCTTTACCTAATTGTAACGAATCATGCCTATTAAAAAATGGGATTGCATAGAAATCGGCCCAATATCAAATTAAAAATTAAAATTAAAAATTCCTTATCATTTGGCTACTACTTTCTTTAGTTCCGATTTTTTTAAACATAAAATAGAATCAGATAATATTAGTTTGAAATTCAAAATAAAATCGAATTGGAACATCCTAAAATTTGGGTTTTGTTTAATCTTCTATAATACAAATTTGAAATTAATTGCATACACTTGCACATTTTTTTCCTTCCTTAAATTAAATAATTTACATTTTAAAATATTAGGGCTATATATAATAAGAAAAAAGTTTTACAATCTCTGTTATATTTAGCTATGCAATATTCATAAAAGCAGTATAAATATATCATTTATATCCTACTAAATAATTAGTTGATTTATTTAAGTCTATCTAGAATCCTAATAAAATTTGTGGTGATGGACGATGTACCAAGAGGAGACCAAACAAAAATATTGTGTACAATGATACGTTTAATAATATATGAGTTATATTTTGTTTTATTCCAATACATGCGTTTTACGTTATTCCAATCATCCAATCATTCAAATTTAAACGCTTACCTTAACAAAATTAGCTTGTGTATCGCACAAGTATTGCACTAGTTGAATAGAAAATTGTGATACTAAAATAATCGAATCGAATTGCACTGAAATACAAAGCTCCATTCAATTTTTATTTTGTCTGAGTCTTTTTAGCACTTATATTTAATTTAGTGTTGTTCGATGTAAAACCTAATCATTAAAAAAAAAGGTCTTTAACTTGTGAAAAATAATAATCAATTCGGTGTAAAGAAAAAGGAACATGAAACTTGGGAGATGTTACCGTCACGGTAAGAAACTATTCCATTGAGATTTGTAATCGTTAGATCATCATGTATAAACCCGACGGAATAGTTCCGTAAGAGCACCCACAATGCTTTGGGTCTCTTAGAAAAAAAGCACATGCCATGTAAGAAATAGACTTAGTCTATAAAAAAATGTTTCACAATGCATGATTAGTATTCTGGAATTTTTTTTATAGACTAGTTCTATTTCCTAAAATTTGCCACACTAAACCTACTTTTTTGGTTGTTAAATGCGTGATTAGTATTCTGGAAAAAAAAAGCGTGATTAGTGATAAATCTATATATATATAATTACTGGCTAATGAGCATTTAATAAAACCTATTAAATTATACCTAGGTGGCAATATAATTTTTTCCCTCCAAAAACCGTTACTTTTTATTCATTTAACCTTTCATTTAATTATTATGTAATCAATACACTAATTAATTTAAAATTACAAAAATCATTTTAAATTTTCTAATTACTTACAATTGACTATATAATGTGTTGATTATTTAATATGAGTAGATGCTATTTTTGTGGTTACATTTAAATTAACTTCTTTCGGAAAATAAAAAACATATTTGAAATTCCTAAATAAATAATACGTAATTCACAAAAAAAGATACATACCAAAATATAAATTATATCCAATATGATAAACGCAATTTAAAAAATTTAAATATTTCAGCTCCTTTAATTGTAAATTTAACAAAAAATATTAATCATTATATGTATAAAAATAACTCACAATATTTTATTTATATATTTGTGCAAATTGCACAGGTAGAATACTAGTGGAATGTAAAACATATCAACTGAAAAAACACACACACACACAAAATCACACATTTTCTCTCTCATCGCTGTATTTTTTCTGTGTCCTGTGAGTTGTGACCTCCATTTACCAACAAAAGGGTTCCATTTTTCGTATTGAAAAACATAGGAAAAAGAGAAAACTCTGTGTGTGTGTGTGTGAGAGAGAGAGAGAGAGAGAGAGAGAGAGAGAGAGAGAGAGAGAGAGTCTATTTACAGGGGAAGAGATATTTCGCGAGAACCTGTTCTTCGCTCGTCTCTCTACACAGTTTCGGCCTCGAATTTCATCCAAAATGAACGACCTTTTGACGGTGAGTGGTTCAATTTTCACTTTCGTTTCTCATTTTGATGCGTGATTGCTGTTGATCTGCTGCGAAATTGATACAAATTTAATAAATATCGCGACGGAAGGGATTTGAAAATGGCGGGGGTGAATGCAGCTGCTTTTAGGAGCTGGGACAAGGCGGAAGATCTTGTCTTGGCCCGTTTGATTAGCGTTTAGCTGTCTTTTTCTTTTTGGAAGAAATGTTAGAGGAAAATTGTTGAGATTGCTCAAGACATAAATTTTGGGATGAAAAAGCTGTCAATGTTGTTTTGCTAATAGTTTAGGCTTTAGAGTTGGTATGTGGATCTTTGTGATTATGAATCTATGGATAACAAAGCCAGCAAAGGGATTCTTGAATCTTGAGACGTCATCTAATTTTTTTCTGTGTTTATTTTGGATACATGTGCTTTTCGGGGTTGGGTTTTACCTCGAAATTGGAATTTTGATCACATATATCGTGAAATTCACGAGTCGAGATTTTGAATTTGGATACTTAATGGGCTCTGTTTCCTGCATTTGACTTAATGATTAACGATTCCACAGAATACTTGTGATGACTTTTAACTCTACTTTAGATGTTTTCGTGTAAGTCTATTGGACCAGGCTCCAAAGGGGAAGAAAAAAGTTAATTGTCAATTATGCAGACAACTCAATATGCCGAACTTGCTGGAATAAAGTCGAACCTTCGAGGACTTGATGTATCAGAGTTGTTATTGATTAAAACTGCGTGTTTTGAAATCTATATTCCTTGGTAGAGAAGTATGCATTTGATGCTCTTAGTTCATGCCCGTCTTCAGTTCCGCATTTGATGCTCTTAGTTCATGCCCGTCTTCAGCACCAAGATTAAACCTTTTTCAACTGGCATCTAAAACATCGCATGGTCAACGGATTTGCCATTTTAAACTTGCATATCCGCTTGTGGAATCTGAGCGATTGGATGATTAAATTGGTTGAAAGAGGACATGTTGCAACTTGTTTCCTTCTTCATTTACTTTGTGATAGCAGTAAAGGAAAAAGGAAAAAAAAAAAAAGAAAAGAAAAGGTCTTCTGCTTATAAATTTGAAATGTTTATGAGCCCTAAATACCAAGGGATGCCAGATCAAATCCTGTTATCTTTTAACCATTGATGACATCTTTTGTTTCGTGTATCTGAACGTGCTTCCCACATGTCGTATTTTGCGACAATGGGTTACTATGAAATCTATTCTCGTAATGGTCAATCTCTAATCTTTTTGGTTGGTTACCTATTGTTTCAAGAAAATGTATCCCTTGGACATGATTAGGTTGTGCATGGGGCATCTTTTATGAAAACGTTTTATCATCTTTGCTCTGGTATCTGTAATGTAGAGGCAATCACTTTACCTTGAGTTGTTAGCATTTATCTACAGTTTTCGTTTATGCTATATGCTATTTTGTTCTTTAGAAATGCTTAGCAGTTTTGTTTGTGGACATCTTGTGCAATGTACAGGATTCCTTTGTGATACCACGTGATGAAGGTAATAGAAATGGTGATATTGAAATGGGAATGGAGAGACAAACAAATTCGGAAGATCTAGGCATGGATAATTTCTTTAAACAGGTGGCTAGCATAGCTTGCTCTCATATACATTGAATAGAGTTATCACATAGGATTTTTATTTTGTTCTGTGGCCAAAAGAAGTTGCGTAATGCCTGACTTGCCTTCTGTTTTCTAGGTCCAGGAGATTGAGAAACAATATGAAAAACTCAATATCCTGCTGAGAAAGCTCCAGGTTTTTTTGTTTCATCTGTTCTCTTCTCTTTACATTTCTTTTATTCTTTCGCATTTTTATGCCTGTAGATCAAGCCAGATTATTTTAGATGGGGACTGCTATTTCTACACAATAGTAATAATTAATTTTGCCAAAATTCATATCCATGTCACTGTTCATTTTTTTTAGACACCACAAAATCTAAGTTCCAGAATCATGTCTCGCTAAAGTAATTGTGTGAAAGTGTCGACTATTAACCACTACTTCTGAGAAAATTAAGTTTATATGCATTAAATTTACATGTTATAAATCTTAGCTCTACATTTCTACCAGTTTAACAGAATCCAATTCTATTTTTACATGATTAATGTAGCTATATGGAGCTTAGTGTGTTGTGTTTTATTCAATAACCTTTATAAGTTATAATCTATTGCTGGTGTGGACTTCCTACTGGTCTTCTCAAGCAATAGCTTTACTGTCTATTTGGAAAATTTATCTAGAATGTTTATCATCTTTCAACTTCAGGATGCTCATGAGGAATCAAAGGCTGTGACGAAGGCTGCTAATATGAAAGGTAGATTTTACCGCCATTTATTGGTGTTGGTCCATTCGGAAAGAAACTCAGTCCATGGGACATTCATAGACTTGCACAAACTTTTCACATTAGATTTCACATCTTTCTTCACTTGTACATTCTCCTAATTTGTTTTATTGTTTTATTGATTTTTTTGTTATCTTAATTTTTTCACTCTTAATTTTGTAACTCGCTAGCAATCAGGAAACGGATGGAGAAGGATGTCGACGAAGTTGGAAAAATTGCCCGTTCTATTAAATCAAAAATTGAGGAACTCGACAAAGAGGTGCATAAATATGTAGCGTGTCTCAATTGCAGTTGGGCTTCTCAGTTTTCTGCTCGTACTGATGTTTGTCTTTTAATCGGTTTTAGAATTTAGCCAATAGACAAAGGCCTGGGTGCGGAAAAGGATCAGGCGTAGACAGATCAAGAACAGCAACAACAGTGTAATGTATCGTCCCCTTTTTTTTTATAACAGTAACATTAATTTTATAATTAGTTGATGTGTTATTCTAGTTGACCTATCATGTATTTTAACCTTTATCATGTAACTCGTGCTCCTAATTCCAAATTTACTTGCACCTATTTGATAAAAAAGAGCAGGATATTAAGTTTTACTTTGTTGTGTTCGACTGCAGGGCTCTGAAAAAGAAGTTCAAAGATCGAATGTCGGATTTTCAGGTAGATTAGCCTCATAGTACATAAGCTGGGTTTAAATTCACTTCAGTTACTTCCAGATCCCAATTCATTGTTATGAATGTTTTGTAGACTTTGAGAGAGAATATACACCAAGAGTATCGTGAAGTTGTAGAGAGACGTGTATTCACAGGTGACAGAGCTGTATTTGAGAAACAGATCGTTCGTCACTTATTGTAGCATTGCAGAAGTTTTATCTACACTATTATTTTTGAACGATTTTGATATTATTTTGTTTCATTGTGGTTTTTTCAGTGACGGGCACTCGAGCTGATGAAGAGGTGAAGACATTTTCCAATTTGTTTTTTCTTTACAATCAATTAATCATTCTATTTTTTGCACTGTTTATTTACTTAAACCCATTTGTACCCAGACAATTGATAAATTAATAGAGACCGGTGATAGCGAACAAATATTTCAAAAAGCTATCAGAGAACAAGGCCGAGGCCAGGTAATTTTCCTATGTTTTCGTTTGGGTGGCCCGTAAAAGCCAAAGCCAGCAAATTTATTTTGTTCGTGAAATTCTGTTTACAGGTAATGGACACCCTGGCAGAAATTCAAGAGCGACATGACGCTGTTCGAGATTTGGAGAAGAAGCTTCTAGATTTGCAACAGGTAATATTTTTTTTTTTTTTTCCTTAGCTGATGAATTTGAGTGTAATTTTCGAATGTTGGCTTTATATATTTTCGAACGTTGTTAAATTCTGAAAACGAATTTGATCTTGGCAGATATTCCTTGACATGGCTGTACTGGTGGATGCGCAAGGAGACATGCTCGATAACATCGAGTCACAGGTTATAACTTTTCATCTCACAGTCTATTTTACGAACACCATCTTGATCATTAATTTATAATTTTTACTTTGCAGGTTTCGTCTGCCGTGGACCATGTGCAGTCGGGCAACACAGCTCTTCAAAAGGCAAAAAGCCTGCAGAAGAACTCGAGAAAATGGATGTGCATAGCAATCATCATCCTTCTCATTATAGTGGCAATTGTTGTGATTGGTGTGCTCAAGCCATGGCAGAACAAGAACGGGGCTTAGCTTTCTACCCGAGCGTGTAATGTATAAAAATTGAAGAAAAAGAACTATAGAGCAAAATGGATCGCTTTTATAATCGACTATACTATATACGAGGATTGGTCTTCTTTTTTATTTGTTCGTTCGGGATTTGGGTTTGTATCCCCTGGGTGTGTGTGCATTCTTTGACTTTGGTATTAACCGGCGGGTGCATGTGGAATTTGCTCGTTTGCTTTGGATGCTCGGGCTTTCGGCTGAATGCTCGTGAGACGCGTCTCGCTCTGTGTGTAAAGTTATGGTGCTTCATGGTTTCTGGAGGAATTTATGATTTTTTTTTTTTTAATCACATTTGTTTTTTTGGCAACCAATCAATATATATGTAGCTCTGTTTTGATGTTTTTATTTGGGATAACATTTCCATCATTTGAAAATTAATTAGGTATTTTCATTATAAGCTAATTTTACGGATACTTTTTAGCAATGTGTCACTTTAAGTTGGGATGGTTCTTTTTTTTTTTTTTTT